AACTCTCTGCCTGCCCACTGCCCGCTACTGAGAAATGCAGCCATTAGGGTTGCCAGATGGCTTAACCAAAAATACCAAACCCCTTCCTGCCCCTCTCCCCCCAAAAAAACACCGGGAAAAAAATTCTGTTGAGGAAAAAAAAGGGGGGGAGACCAAAGTTGTTGAGAACAAAAAAAAGGGACCCTGACAGCAGTTATTAAGCTAAATAAATAAATAATCAGTATGGCCCCTTTAAGAAGAGGCCATTCTGTTTTACTATTCATCACCCCAGCCACAAGAAAAGCCCTTGCGGAACCAGGTAAGTGGAGAGTGGGGGGACGTCCGGGGGAGGACCTGGTGGGAGGTCCAAGGGGGGCCGGTGGAGGGGCCGGGGCTGGGCCTGGTTGCTGAGTGTGTGTGTAGGGTTGCCAGGTGTCCGGTATTTTCACCTGCTGGCGGGGTGGAAAAAAGGAAATACCGGACAGGTTAGGTGTCCGGTATTTTCTGAATTTTTTTACTGGACAGGAGGCAAAAATACTAGACTATCTGGGTCAATACCGGACACCTGGCAACCCTAGTAGCCATTGCAGGGTTCTGATTGAACAGCTGGGGAAGAAGGCAAGAGTTTGTGCACTGCCCCTGTCCCCAGCACAATCCCACTGGCTGGTTTGCAGCCAATGGGAGCTACCTGTTGTCAACAGGCAGTTCAGGAAGCACCCTTCCCCTCAGGCTGGTAGCTGTTCAAAAACCACATGGCCCCTGCAGCCAGGAAAGGGGCAGGGCAGGGCAGCCAGGGAGTCTCCTTAAGAAGACTGCTGGCTGGGGATAAAGCAAGTAAGTCCGCCAGCCCAAACCTGACTCTGGCACCTCAACCCTTTGCCCCCCATCTCTCATAACCCTAACTCTCTTCCCCCCTCCTGCCCCTATATCCCCTCCCAGATCCTGCACCCCAATCACCTACCCAATGTCACAATCCCCTCCTTTCCTAGGTCACAACCCAAACCCTCTGCCCCTCCTCCCCCCACACTTACCGCATATAACCCAAACTCTCTGCCTCCTCTTACACCCATATCCCCTCCCAGATCCTTCACCCTAATCCCCTGCCCCATATCACAACCGCCTCCTGTCCTGGGTCACAACCTAAATCCTCTGCCCCTGCTCCTTTACCCCTATCCCCCATAAACCAAACCCTATACCCCCCTCCTGCACCCATATCCCCTCCAAGATTCTGCACCCCAATCCCCTGCCCCAGGTCACAGTCCCCTCCTGTCCTAGGTCAGAACCCAAACCTTCTTCCCACTCCCCTGCACCCCTAACCCACATAACCCTGTCCCTTTCTGCCCCCCATATCCCTTCCTTGATTCTGCATCCCAAACCCCTTCCCCAGGTCACAACCCAAACCTCTGCACCTTAGTCCCCTCATTCAGGTCACAATGTCCTGCTGCACCCAAACTCCCTCCCAGACACCCACACCCTCTCCTGTACCCCAATCCCTTACTGCAAGCTCCCTTCTGCACCCAGCCTCCATCCCAGACCCCACACCTTCTCTATTAATATGGAATAGTGCCGCCCTTGACCACTTTCCAAATTCTTGAAGTGGCCCCGCATCAAAAATAATTGCCCACCCTGACATATGGTCATATATTTACAGGTACATCTATATCTAATATATCTATAAACATTAGGGACTAAACTCTAATCTCAGTTACACTGGGGTAAATCTGGAGTAACTATTAAAATAAAAAAAGTTTGTCTAATTTTACACTGGTGTAACAGAGATCAGAATCTGGTCCTGATGCAGTGCAAAATAGGGATGAAAATAGGAGGGAGCAAACATCAGCAGCAGGTTTAATTGATTCCCCAACATAGGGGAATGGTCTTTATAACAATACTGCAACTCTAAATTCTTGTGGCTAACTGTATGAGTCATTTTCTTTCCATGCCACTTGGAACCCATTACTCCAGGCCATTCCTATGAGATTGGGTTTTGTCTGTTTCTTTCTTCATATCCAGCCCATGTACTCATGATATATGTTACATTCATATGCCATATGAGCTCTGTAACTCTGCTGAAGATAATGACACAATTTACCTGAACAAAGTAACAGTCATTCTCTGAAGTGTAGCAGAAGTCATCAGAGCCTATACTGATCTCTGTGTTTTAGGGTGCGTCTAGACTACATTCCTCTTTCGAAAAAGGAATGCAAATGAGGGAAATCAAAAATGCAAATGAAGCGCTGAGTTACAAATCTCATGCTTCATTTGCATAATCTCTTCTAATCGCTTTTTCGGAAGAAATGTTTTCAAAAAAAAAAGCAGTCTAGATGGGGTTCTTTCGGGAAAAAAAACGTTTTTTGAAAGGACCCTTACTCCTGAAAAAAATGAGGTTTACAGGGTTCTTGCGAAAAAGGGAGGGGTTTTTTGGGGGGGGTGATCAGAAGAGATTATGCAAATGAAGCACGAGATTCGTAAATCAGAGCTTCATTTGCATTTTCAATTTCCCTCATTTGCATTCCTCTTTCAAAAGAGGAATGTAATTTAGATTCACCCTTATTTCTCAGCCATTTTAGTTGGGGGAGAGGACTGATGTTGCGTGATAGGAATAGTCACCTTTTGTAGCCTTCCGGTGACATGAAAATAAAGATCAGCCTCTTGTCAGCACTCCTGTGTGAGGCACACGTTTATTGTATGGGGCATTTTTTCTCATACACCCTTTGAAGGAACATAGTTCCTTTCTGAAGAGTAGGCTCAACTCTACAGTCTTTACCAGAACACTGTGAAGGGATAATCCTGCCAGATACTATGTTCCCTAAATTCCCATTGAGTCAGTTGTGGGAGAATGCTCAGCTCCTCAAAGGGCACAGATTGCAGGATCAGGTCCACAGAGACCTCTCCTTTGAGATGTTTGGATCTGTAACCCTATCAATGGTCTGGGTCATGGTTTATTAAGATGAGCTGCTATTTATGGGATTTTCTCCTTCTCCAAATTCCCCTTTTCCATATTTCTGCTGAATTCATCCTCCTTTGTCATTAGCTGCCCACCTTATTATATAGATTATAATATAAACACCAGGAATGATCTGGAAACACACTGTACTCATCTCAGTTTTGGGGACACCAAGGCAAAAATGATTGAAAGTAAAGTTAGCTCTTTGAGGTTTAATGTGCGTATAATCATTCTAAGACCTTGTGTATGCTAGACTATCATGGGAAATACCTCTCCATTTCACAGACATCACTGTACCTATTCTCTTCTATGTAAGTACTTACTCTTTGTTCACTGCCATAGTCTCTAAGCTCCAGTGGTAACATAGATCAGGACTCCGGCATTTTTACCACAGTTCTATTAGATACAGTGGTAAAAATGCTGGTGGCTACTTGAGCCCTGTCTGCATTCATGCTCCCAATGTTGCTGTGATGGCTGAAGCTCTGAGAGAGCAGGACATACAGACCTCCTAGATGAGAATACTGCCACGGGAGTGCAAAAGAATTTTAAAAAGCAAACAATAAATGTTAAAGACCTGTACTTTGATCTGTTGGTTGACTCTTAACAGATGATAACCTTAATAGTGATATTGAATTGTGGACTATCCAAAAAAGTCTCAACAGAAAAAAGGGTTACACTCTGCAAAACACCAGAATGGCAGAAAGAGAATTACAGTAGGCAGCAAATTGCCATCATAGTCCATGTCTGATTTGGAGGCAATCAGACAAATGGGTTAAAGTTTTAAATAATATTGTGAAATCCCAAAACAGGAAGAGGAGCTTAAATAACAAAGGAAAAAATAAAAGCTGCTAGTAACAATTTTTGTTACACAAAACACCTACTGGAAGAAGCAGACTAATAAACACATCTGGCATGCCTTGGTTATGAGGCAATTAAATACAAAATAGCACTTTAAAGCAAACAAAGTTCCAAGATGTCTAATTCCCTCCAGACTTTAGTGGGAAAAACAGATTTCAGTGGAGTAGCACCAGAAAACTGTGGTGAGAATTTGGTCTCAAATAGCAAAGTCTTTATCCTGATAAAGCAGCAGCAAATGAGACTTCAAGCCTATCATCTGGAAACATATTCCAAGCAAGAAATAAACATCAACATACTACATCAACTTTTTTTTCTCATCAGCCTCTGTCATATCTAAGATCCTATTTATTAGCTCCGTATCTGTAGTCCTCAATACCTTTAATGTGTTTGTGCTCACAGCACCCCTGAGAGCTAGGGAAGCATTATCATAACCATTTTACAGATGGGGACTAAGATATAGACAGAGCAAGGGCTAGATTTTGCTTATTGTATTTTTTCCCTTTGTACATCCCTCTGAACAGTTTACAGTACAAGCTTATTGTACCTACTCTGGAGATACTGATAACTTCAAGAAAGAAAAAGACCTGAATTTCACCTCTGGAAACATTTGTTCCTAATGCAAAGTGGAGACATCAGTATTATACTGGTAGATGCCTGACTGCCACTCTTTTTCTCACTGATAGCCAGAAATTAAAGCAAACGTGTATGCTCCTTATAATTATTTATTATCCAACCACAAAGGAAGCATGAGGATGAGATGCACAAGCAGAAAGCCTAACATAGTTAATAAAGAAGACTCTCCTGAGAAATATACATCATGAGAACTAGCATAAAAGCTCATAGGAACAAGTCCATAAACTTGATAAAGTTATGATGACTAAAAACTAAAGCTCCAGTCATATGCTATCATGTTTACAATGTCAGATCTTATAAGCATGCCTGCAGTTGGCTTTCCCAGTCACTTGACTGGCTCCTTACTTTCTATTCATTCCAACACAGTGATTGTTTTCAACATATCAACTTCCTAGTCCGTCTGTCCCCCCCCTCCGTCCCCCTCCCCCGCCAAATGTCAACAATCTCCTAGTAAATTTCTTATTGATCCTCCACTGGTCCCCACCCCCACCTTCAAGGGCTACTAAGCAGCCCAATTATTCCCTCAAAAAGCCCTCCTGTCCAGGCTCCCTATCCCACTGCCTCAGAAAAAAGGATGACTTACACCTAGCATCTGATGTAAGTAGTAGTACTGCGGCCCATGGTAATACAGCAGGAAGGTTTTCCAGAAGAGCCCCACATTGAGGGAGAACCAGAAAAGCTAAAACAAACAAGACAACAAGAAAGAATACATGTAAGTGAAATGCACATATACCGTCCAGAACTTTTCAATATTTCTTTTCATCACACAACACACAGGCAATGGTCTCTCAAAGGATTTTGCAGCTGAATGAAAAAACTCATGGAAAGACATTACAAAAACAGCCCCTGCTGGCTGTAAAACTTTTTGTTCTCTGCCAGCCTCCCAAAAGTTTGCATTGGAAAGTCAGTCCTTTACAATCTTATGTAGCATCTTGCATGCAAACTGTCTCTCAACATTTATTGAGTTACATGCTGCTCTTAAAGAGTCAAAGAATAAAAAAATAACAGTGGGAAAGACAAACAATGAGTCATATGTAAGTGAAAACTACATTTTCAGATGAGATCCATGTTTTTTCTGCCCCACCTCTTGCGAGAGACTATACCCCTGTGCACAGATATACACACAGTCATTCTCCCTTATTTACAGGGGTACTGATTCCGTTTTTCAAGTGCAGGCGCTGAAATAAACTGTGAACCCTGTCTATGAGGGAACCCACTTCAAGCCAGGGGGTGCGGGAGCATCCCTAACTCCAACACCTATGCCTGTATAGCACACATGGGAGCGCGCATACACAACACAGACGTGCATACATTTATACACACACATCCACAGCGTGCACGAGCCACCCACTCAAGTAGGCACGCGCCTGCAAAGAGGACCCGGCGATCCCAGGGACACGCGACGCCCACACGCATGCGAAGCGCCCTCCAGGCCCGACGGCGTCCCCACGCGCGCCCAGATGCATGCACGGCGCGTAAGGCACATGTGCACGCACAGACCAAGGCAAGCGGCTCCCGCTCCACGCGTGCCGCAGCGCCCCGGCCCCGCGCGCTCCCCCGGGGCTCTGAGCTCAAAGTTTCTGGGCGAACTTCGCAGCGGCGGTAGCCAGAGGCGGCGCCCTGCGCTGGGGGACGCGCCCGCAGAGCTGGGCGCAGCATCCTACCAGGCAGAGGTGCTTGCTCCCCTCGTTGGCCAGCCAGCTCTTCCCGCACAGAGCCATGGTGCGAGTCCCGCGCCTGGGGCAGCGCTTCAGGGAGCAGCCTGCCGAGTTGCCGCCGGTCTGGCTGCTGCTCCTCTGCGGGTCGAGGCTCGTCCTGCCTCTCCCCCTCCCTTCCTTCCGGCCGCCGCCCCCTTGCTGTCCCTCCCCGGCCTCTCTGCTCTGCCCCCGGGGGCCCGGCCGGTGCCGGCTCGCGCGCAGCATGCTCAGTTGCATCCTGTGAAGCCCCTGCCCTCGCTCTGCCCGTAGTTGCCGTCGGGCCCTGCGACTGGGAGAGGAGGAGGAAGGGGACGGAATGTGGGAAGCGGGGTAAGCAGCTTCCAGGGGAGGGCAAAAGGGCTGGCGAGTGGGGAAGGAGTAGGGCAGCAAGGTGTGGCGCTGGGGGCATGAGCTGGGGTCGGAAAGATCCATTGCCAGACAGTGGCAGAGCAGCAGTAACTCTGGGAGAGGGGATGCAATTTGCAGGGAAGGGGGCTAGCCTTCTGCAGGTTGTCAAAGTGAGAGGGGGTGATGGAGGGGCTTGTGCTCCCAAGTGTAGCCTAGTGCCCAGAATTAAAAGCCTAAAGACCCTTGAGGATCTGGACTCTAGGAGATTTTATGCAGATGTAACACCTCCCATGTACACACACACACAAACCTGACCTGCGCTGTAGCAATTCTGCTAAGATTTTGACCAGCTACCGCTTCCTCATGCCAAGAGGCAAGGGGCTTTGCCTTTACTATTCAGCTCTGAGCAGGGATTTTGGCCATGGCTCCCAACTTCATTCCCCCTTCATCGCACTCTTTCTGAGTTCTGGTTAACAAAAGCACCCCCATTTTAAGCACCTGATTGTGTATTATCTAACAGTGTATTTATTGTACATTGAATAACCAATGTTCAAAGAATGAAACACTTGAAAACTTGGAAATGCCTGATTTATCTTTATTGACATGGTCCTCTCTCCCATTCAATGTCCATTCTGAGGCCTGAAAGATAGAGGACCTGTGGAAAAAACAGTATGGCTATGTCTACACTGGTGAGATCTTGTTCCAGAGCTATGCAAATGAGGCTAAGCGTGGAATATCTGTTCACTTTTTTTTTAATTGTATCCTTTGGTATATATGGTTGTGACTATTTTCTTCCACTATTTGATCTGAGGAAGTGGGTCTGGCCCACGAAAGCTCATCATCTAATAAACCATCTTGGGGAACTGGCTTTTAAGCTGGCTCCCCCCAGCACCATCTCGTTTCCCTTCCCCACCTTTGCTGACGCTGATGCAGAGGCAGCAAGGGGAGAAGGAGAGCAAGTAGTTGACTCAACTACCCGATAAGCTTAGGCATATAGTTAGTTGACTACTCAGCTTACACCCCTACTTCAGACCCTTAAAGGATAACATCTGGGAGGTATAATGCATGTGCAGAGCCTCTAAATCAGTGGTCCCCAATGCGGTGCCTGAGGGCGCCATGGCGCCCGTGGGGGCATTTGTTTGCGCCCAAGTGCTCGGGGCTGGCCTGGCCCCGGGCACGTGGCGCACGGTGAGCGCCAGCCCCGGGAGCGCTGCAGATTGGCCGCGCGTGGCGCATGGGTAGAGCGCCGGCCCCAGGCACGCAGCGCTTGGGGGGAGGTACCAGCCCTGGGCGCGTGGTATGGGGGGGGCCCTGCCCTCTGCGCTCGGCGAGCGAACGGCCACGCCCCCTGGCGCCCGGCAACCTTAAATGGTTGGGGACCACTGGCCTATGTGATTACAAGTAGTCCTGTGGTACCTTATACACTAACCAAAATAATGTCCACAGACAGGGAAGCTGAATTAAGGACTTCACAGGCGACTGTAAATCTGGGACTTCCTTATTTTTGACTTTGCAACCTAAATGCCATTCTTTTAACATAATTTTGTGTGTGTGTGTGAAGGGTTTTTTAAAAAGCAGTCAGTTCTAAGGTCACCAGCAGACCTTGTGCGCAGAACCTTACACATTAGCATCCATACACACTGCTAATTCTTGAGCAACAGAAGGCTATTTTTCCTGGAGGTATGGCTGTCAGGGTTGTGATAAGGGTAAGCCTAGTGTCCAACCTGGCTCTTTCCACTTTTGCCCTTTAGGTTGGAGGAAAAGCTGCCTTACATGTTGACCCCAGAAGAGAGGAATTAATCACTAGATCCATGTGCTCCATTCCTATATCTCTCCTCTGTGTGCAAGCTGTAGGAAAGCCTGCCCCATGAGTCTTGGGAGGAAGGAATGGGGCATTGGAGGAAATGAGTGAGGAGAGCAACACACCCTCTCACAGCTGGGTGTGAGGTGGTCCCATTGCAATGGATGCTGAGTTTACTACTGCCTCTTTGGCTGTGACCAAGACAAGTCTCAGAATGCTGAGTGATTTTGGCAGCTGCTTAATTTTTAAACTGAGGACCCTGAAGAGCAGGGCTCAAAAGGGCAGCTATACTGAACAGTGCTTATTGGCAAGGATACTGGAAGTAAGCAAAAAACACCATACCTTGAATCTGGAAACTGATCAGAACTATCATTTGTGCCTAGAGCAGTGATATCAGAAAAATGGTATTGCTATTTAACTGCCTTGTTCTTTCTCTCTCCCTCCCCCCCATTTCTGGTGGAATGGATAGAAAATCTGAAGCAATTTACAAAGAGACAATTGATAACATTTGCCACCCTCCCCCACCCCCCATGATCATTTCAGAGGGTGATTACCTGGGAAACATTCTGAATTGAAAATAACATTTGCAACATGTACACTGCCTAGCACAATAGGTCCTGGTGGAGGCTTTACTCACTACCACCATAGACAAATAAGCAAATAATTTGACCTGTGTTATTGCAGACTTCAGCATATGCTACACTTCTGGCTTATGCAGATGTCTCAGGAAATGCAGTTAATAGAACACTTGACTGCCCACTTATTTAATACTCTTCCTCAGATGGAGCAGAAGGTACATGTTCCAGTGACTATACTAGCTGCTCTCTCATTTCCAGGAGCTCACTTCAGCCCTTAATAGGGTCCTGTGCTTAATTTGTAATGAAAGAGGTGCTGGAGCTCAAGCAAGTGTTTTACATTCATAACTGATACAGCAAGACTAGAGGTGCTAGGACTAAGAACTACTAAGCCAAGAGATACCAGGGCTCAGCCCTAGCAAACCCCAGCACAAATTAAGCACTGTTTGGATCCTAGCTGAATTACAAACTGCCTCTCTCCACAGATGTACCAAATCATTGGGAACAGCTGAGGCATGTGAGTTAGCATCCCAAAAACGTACATGAGAGGGAGGCGGGAGGCAAGCCATTTTCAGCTGAGAACCCTTGACTCAAGTTTGCTCTTTCTCGTTCAGATTTTGCAGAGGGCACAGCCCAGCCACTATGACAGAGTTGCCCTGGAGAGGACTGAAGGGTAAAGTTCTTAATTTTTTTTTGCTTAATTAGTCTAGATTAGTGTTTCCTCATTTTATTTGGCCTTTTAACCTCAAAAGAATTTTGCAGAACCCCTAACTAATAAGTCTTATATATGGAGCTGGAAAAGTAGACCACAAATAAGGTAATCGCACCACTGACTGACTGTGCAGCACTGAGTAGTGACATCATCATCCCCACTTTCTGGCTAAGCTGGCATTACACAGGGACAATTATCATGGCAAACACAAATGAAAATTGTTTTAAATAAAATTCATAAATGCTTAAATATTTTTTACATCATAAAATGTTATTGTAATGGAATTTTCTCATGGAGCCCTTATTTTCACTTTTTAACACTGTTTTGGAAACACTGGTCTAGATATACTTTGGCACGTGTGTGGTTCAATATCAAGTCATGAGGTCTGAATGATTTTTGCTTTTTATATCACTGTTATCAGTGCTGTGTAAGAAGAATATCTTATGCAAAGGACATTTGTTCTTTAAGGCATTTCATTTTGTATCATTTCTTTTATTTTTTGAAAGTGGAGCTTTTCATCTGCTACATTCAAAAGGATAAACTCTGCTAGGAATGGCTTTCTGACTCTATGGTCTCCCTAGAGTCTGAAGTGACGCTGCTTCTGAAGAGCTGGCATTAGAACCTCCACACATGTAAAATCAGTGTAACTTTAGTGGGGCAACACCAGGTGGCACTAATGGGTCTTGATTCTTATAGAAATAGCAAAACCAGTAATAAACCATTAGAGAAAGTGTTTGTTAAATTTAGCAATGACATTTGCAGTGTAAATTTTGCTTGTGTTAATAGCCCTCCATACCACTGAGTGCAATTTTCTCTGTTAAACTCCATGCTACAAGGATCACAGAATATAGCATGAGGTCATGTAGCATTGTGGCCTCAAATAACCTCCTACACATTCCTACTTCAAACAAGAAAAGAGCGCATGCCAACTCTAGCACACAGCAGTAATGCTGATTAATATAATTAAATGCAAGTAAGCAGCACATGCAGGGAATGTGTGTGTAATAATTACAGCTGCGATACATTCCATGAAAAAACAGTGACAAGTATTACCTACATTCATTTGTCCTACTGATAGTAAAGCTTCCCTTGGGTTTGAAGTTCTTTGCGGAACTGACCCATAGAGCGAGAAGAAAATTAAGATGGTGAAGCCTTATAGTTTTTAAAAGGCTTAAGGCCCAGTCTAATTTCCCATGAAGATTTTTCACTTACTTCAGTGTAAACACAGATTAGAATTTAGTTGTGTATACTAAATATAATCATTCATTCATAGATTTTAAAGGCCAAGTGGAACCTTAATGTTCATATAGCCTGACCTTCATAACACAGGCCAAAGAAGCTCACCCATAATTTCTGTACTGAGCCAACAAAGATATGTTGACCTGGAACACATCATTAGAAAGATATCCATATTTTTATTTAAATACTTTAGGTGGTGGAAAATCCACCATTTCGTTAAGCAAGTTTTTCCAATAGTTAATTACCATTGCTATTAAAATGTGTGCCTTATTTCTGGTTAAAATTTGTCTTGCTTCAACTTTTAATCACTGCATTTTGTTAGTTCTTTTATTGCCAAATTAAAGAGCTCTCTGCTATCTGAAGTCTCTTCTCCATGGTATTTATCGACCATGATCAAGTTACCCCTTAATCGTCTCTTCATAAATGAAATTGTTTGAACTTCTTTAGTGTCCTACTATAAACCATGTTTTCCAGACCTCAAATAGTTTTTTTCTGATCCCTTTTCAACATCCTTTTTTGAAATGGGGTCATGAGCGCTGGTTACAGTATTTTAGTTACTTACTAACTCCATAAATGAACATAAGAATGGCCATACTGGGTTACACCAAAGGTCCATCTAGCCCAGTGTCATGAATTCCGACAGTGGCCAATGCCAGGTGCCCCTGAGGGTGTGAACAGAACAGGTAATCATCATGTGATCCATCCCCTCTCACCCATTCCCAACTTCTGAGAAACAGAAGCTAGAGACAGCATCCTGCCCACCCTGGTTAATAGCCATTGACGGCATATCCTCCATGAACTATCTAGCTCTTTTTGAACCCTGTTAGTCTTAAACGTTACAACATCCTCTGGCAAGGAGTTCCACAGCTTGATTGTGTTTTGTGTGAAGAAATACTTTGTTTTGTTTGTTTTAAACCTGCTAACTATTAATTTAATTTGGTGAATCCTAGTTCTTGTGTTATGGGAAGGAATAAATAAATATTTATTTTTTCTACACGAGTCATGATTTTAGACCTCTATCATATTCCCTCTTAGGCTACGTCTATACTGCACCTCTCTTGCACAAAAGCTTAGGTAAATGAAGTGTGGATCAGCATATTGCCGTGCTTCATTTGCATAGTCAATTAGCAGCCGATTTTGCACAAGAGGCTTTTGCTCCTTTTTTGCACAAAAGCCTCTTGCACAAAAGCGGCCCCATATTAATTATGCAAATGAAGCACAGCAATATGCTAATCCACGCTTCATGTGCATAAGTTTTTGCGCAAGAGAGGTGCAGTACAGGCGTAACCCCCGTCTCCTCTTTTCTAAGCCGAAAAGACTCAGTCTTTTTAATCTCTCTTCATATGGCAGCCGTTCCAATGCTAAGATATCTTTTTTGAGATGCGGTGACCACATCTGCATGCAGTACTCAAGATATGAGTGTACCATGGATTTATATAGAGGCATTAACATATTTTCTGTTTTATTCTCTATTCATTTCTTAATGATTCCTAATATTCTGTTCACTTTTTTGACTGCTGCTGCACATTGAGTGGATGTTTTCAGAGAACTACCCACAATTACTCCAAGATCTCTCTCTTGAGTGGTAACATAATTTAGTTCCCATTATGTTATATCTATTCTTGGGATTATGTTTTGCAATTTTCATTACTTTGCATTTATCAACATTAAAATTCATCTGCCATTTTGCTAGTCACCTAGTTTTATGAGATCATTTTGAAGTGCTTCACAGTCTGCTTTGGACTTAACTATCTTGAGTGGTTTAATATCATCTATAAATGTTGCCACCTCACTCTTTAGCCCTTTGGATTATTTTTAAATATGTTGAATAGGACTGGTCCCAGTACAGAGCTTTGGGGGACACCACTAGTTACAGCTCTCTATTCTGAAAACTGATAATTTATTCCTATCATTTGTTTACTATGTTTTAACGAGTTATCAGTATATGAGAGAACCTTCTCTCTTATCCAGTGACAATGGAGATAATATCATGACAATGGACATAATAACACCTCCCTATTCTTACCTGATGTTCCCCTTCATCCAGTTGTTGTTTTTGAATTCTTAGGCTATCACGTTCAATTTGTTATCTACCATGATCCTTAAATCCTTGTCAGTGTCACTGCATTCCAGGATACAACTCCACATTCTTTGTTTCTAGATGTTTTAATCCTTGTATTTGAGTATATTAAAACACACTGCTCAAATGAACCTTGTTTGCCAACTGATCCACAGCAATCTGTATAACTGATATTTTACAGTCGTTATTTACCACCCTACCAATTATTGTCAGCTGGATATGAAGCTAGTAATGATTTTTATTTTCTTCCAGATGTTAATAAAGTTATTGAATAGCTTTGGAAGCGATCACACTCCTACAGTTGGAGACATGAAAGCTCATGATATAATATATGTGTTAGTCTCGAAGGTGCCACAGAACTGCTTGTTGTTTTTAAAGTTACAGACTAAAATGGCTACCCCTTTGTGACTTTATAGTCATTAGAATCCCCCGGGCATGGAAGGCTGCCAATATGAGAATTTCTATTTCCAACTTTCTTTGTAGGTTTATGATTGATGTGTGTGTATATATAGTTTACACGTAAAAGACATTTGTGAAGCATCTCTTCCAAATCATGCATTTCTTTAGCAATTAAACTCAGTATAAACAACTAGGCAAATGCCAGCTTTTTTCAACCCATTTGGTGGTAGTGTGTGTAGTGGTTTGAATCCAGATGACTCCCAAAACATCTTACAAACTCTACAAACTGATGAAAAGCAGCTACCCCTTTGGGTGGACATAGGAACTGTGTAATAGAGCATTTTAACAGTATCATGATCATAGGTCTATTCTGATACCTTCTTGCCAGTTTGAAAGAAATTATCTTTGGAATGGCAAACAGCATAACTGTTAACGTCTTATATATTATAGCTTGGGCTTTTGTCTGGATTTTCAGACAATCATTAAGCTCCCACAGCCTTTGAAATATTACACTCTTTTCTTTTTATTCCAGGGAATCTCATGGTTCCAAAACATTATCTTTTGCTTTCTCCTCCTGATGCCATCTAACTGAAAAGCTCAGTACTGCCAACTTTATGTATGTCAGTTCTAACTTCTACATGACATAAATATCACTCCAAGAACAACTACTGGAAAACATATCCACAATTTCAGTTCAGATTCCCAGAACTAGTAGTTCTGATTTTTATCTAATTTGAGAGAGGAGGTAATCTCTAGAATTAGAGATGGAATGCCTAGAAGAAAAATTGCCTTCATTTCCCAAGTAGAAATTTATCTTCCACCACTCATTCTGCATCTCAGACATTATGAACACTCGGTAATCTAGAATAGATGGATGATATTTATTTTCCATTTTGCTGGCCCTTTAGCAAGGCAGTAGGCCTTAGTATTTTGCACTTCAGTGTTATAAAAAGACTTCACAAACAGAAGTCAAAGTACCTTAAGTCACTCAAGTGCTAAATGACATAACAGATACTTGTGAGCAAATTTTTGGTTAGTGCTTTCTTACTGTGCTATGCCTCCAAATAAGTTGACATACTATTAGGAAACCATAAATACACATTCTGGCAATTGCAAAAGGGTTAAACAAAACTAACTTTCAAGTGTCCAATGCATAAGGATGATCAAAACCAAGGGTCAAGGAGAGGTAACGTTTTGTAATGATTTTGTACAATGCAAAATTTGCTAGTTGCATTCCTGACAAGTTTGTTCCATCTCTCCCAATCCCCCTTATTCAAACATGTTAACATTCTCTCACTGATTAAGGTTGTGTGAATGAGGGGATGGGTAGAAAAAATCTATATTGTTTATTTATCATTGGCTCTTTGCCAAAACCAAAACCCTTTTACCCAAAACCTTAACACCAGCAGTATTACGAGGTGCCTGAACAAAGATTGTTCACTAGCTGGTCATGTTAGTTAGCTGAACATGGGTTTCCTACCTAAATGACTCATTTTCATATGTTACTTTGCTTTATATGTAAAGTGGATATAAAGAACAACATTCATAATTCTTTCAATTCTATCTGAAAAGCAATCATAAAGGCAAAAGCCTTTGCCTTTCAAAAGCCTCTAGACAGTGGAAGATTTACAGACCCTGAGCTCTGGATGGAGCAATTGCACCTCTGTACATACAGCGCAATACATACTGTGTATTTAAAGAGATGAATACTTCAAATAGGAATTGTATTGGGTCACCTGATCAGATTCTCTACAGGGAGTCTTGCTGGAGTTTATTGTATTCTGCCTTTTATTGCTAACATCTTGGGAAGAACTATTCAACCTTGCTATCAAGGAGTTATCTATTTGTATGCCTACCAGCACATAGTATCTCCACTCAGTCATTAATGAGTTTATCCTCACAACAGCTCGATTGTTTAGTGAAGTACTATTATCACCCCCATTTTAGAGTTTGTGAATTTAATTTGGGTCTCTGAATTCACAGGGTAGGGCCAAAAGACTGTATCCTTCTTCTGACCAAAATTAGGTAGAAGGCATTAAAAACAAAAAAGTCTGTAATCAAATTTCCAAAAACTGCTCTTTTCTTCCCTCTCATCTCATCTCATGTCTCTTTCACTATGGAAAACCTCTTCATTTCAGCTTCATTTTGTTTGAAATCTTAGCACATCAAGTAGTAAGTTAGCATTATATCGCTTAGATCCCTCACACTGGCTACCTCCAGACTGCATCCCTTTGTTGGCACTTCAAAAGTGCAACTGAGCCCGGAATTTAAATATTTTTTGAGGAGTACATGATCTGGTGAAAAAGCTCCCCGCTGTTGTCAGAACTGCAGCTACACAGCACTTTGACTTTTGAAATGGCACATGATCAGCAAAGCGCCAGAATGTGAGTATGCAAATGAAGCCCAGGATATTTAAATCCCAGGCTCATTTGCACTTTCGAAGTGCTTTATTTGCATCCCTCTGCCAACAGAGGGATGCAGTCTGGAGGTAGCCACTGTTAGAAAGCATTGGTATGTTTTGCTGACTTCAAAAATGCAGGGTTAAATGCCATGGAATTCATTTATTTCCAGATTAAACGTTATACTCCTGTTTCCCTTTGCCCCAAGGTCACTTATAAAAATTCCACTGACTTCAGTGGAAGCAGAATTGGGTGCTCTGTCCTCAGACACCTCACATGCTCATCATTCAGTTCTAAAGTATTTAGCACTCTAACAAAATGTTACCCTCATGTGTTTAATGGTTCAAACATCAAAGAAAATTTTGGGTCAATGAGATTTATATTTCTGAATAGGATTGGATAACAAAACTTCCTTCCAGAACCTATTGGGAATATTGAAAATCCCATGTTCCTTTTATTGATCCTGCATTAATCTGGCGTTCTTTCTCCGAGGCGTAGCCAATATCTGATGTAAAAGAGAAAGAAATCATTTAGTGATTCCATAAGCTACACTGCCTATTGGGTACTACTGTACAGATGGGTGGATGCACGGATGGGAGAAGTGGAGCCATTTGCTCTTGACCACTACAAATGTAACCTTTCTACCTCACAGGGTTTGAGGACTTCAGAGCCATACTACAGATATCCTTCATGTCAAATAAAGGAGCAACTTCATCAGGTAACAGCAGTAGTAGGTTATTATAGTCTAATGAACTACACATCAGTGCTAAAGTGGCTTACAGCAAGAATCATCATACGTCTTAAATCATGAGGCCTGGTTGCAGTTATTTTGAAGGTACAGGGAATAGCTACTAGGAAGAATAGGGGAATAGAAGATCTATTTTATAAAGAGATTAGAAGATGTTGGCTTATTTAGTCTATCAAACAGAAGGTAGTGAGGGATATATTTGCATATTACAGGGATAAATACCAGGCAGGATGAAGTGCTGTCTAAGCTAAAGAACAATGCTGACACAAGAACATGTGATATAAACTGGCCATGAACAAATTCAGGGTGGAGATTAAAAGAAAGTTTCTAACAATCAGTGGAATGAGGTACCAGAACAGCCTCCCAGTAGGAGTTGTGGGGGGCAAACAACTTAATTAGATTTGAGAGAGCGGGACAAATTTATGAGCATGACTGTACAACAGAATTGCTTGTGATGGCAGGTGGCAAGGCCCAGCAGCCTGGGGCTCACATCTGGGTGATGTCTTATGTTCCTAAAAGCACATGCTCAGGGTCAGATTTCCTACTTGGCACAATAGGCCTGAACCTAGGGGTGTCAGTGTTCTAGGGTGCCTAAAAGTTAAAATTGGGTTAAAAGTTTCACTTTTTACAGAAAACATGAAGGTCAGCATCTGGCAAGGGGCATATGTGATGAAGATGCTGTGCCTAGCGGTGCTTAAGGTATAAATCCAGTCCTGCTCATGATTTACAGTTTCAGCCAACTACCTTCAGGGTCCAGGAAGGGATTCTTCTCTCTACCCCAATGTATTCTGCGTTTGGTTTTGGTGATATTTGGTTGGTGGTGGGGTGGAATTGTTTGTTGTTTTGTTTTAAATCTACTTCCAGGGTTAGCCATGGATAAAGATGGCACATAGAATCATAGGGTTGAAAGAGATCTCTGGAGGTCATAGAGTCCAACCCCATGCTAAAAGCAGGACTAACCCTAACGAAATCATCCGAGCCAGGGCTTTGTCAAGCCAGGACTTAAAAACCTCTAGGGATGGAGAGTCCACCACCTTTTAGGGAACCCATTCCAACACCGCCCTCCTAGAGAAATAGTTTTTCCTAATATCCAATTTATACCTTCCCCACTGCAACTTGAGATCATTGCTCCTCATTCTGCCATCCGTCACTACTGAGAATAGTTTCTCTCCATCCCCTTTGGGACCCCCCTTCAGGTAGTTAAAAGCTGCTATCAAATCCCCCCTCACTCTTCTCTTCTGTAGACTAAATCAGCCCAAATTCCTCAGTGTCACCTCATAAGTCATGTGCTCCAGTCCCCTAATAATTTTGTTGCCTCTCCTCCCCTAGTTGAATTTTCTCCAATGTATCCACATCCTTTCTGTAATGGGGAGGAGGGGAAGAATTGGATGCAGTACTCCAGATGTGGCCTCGCCCATGCCTAATAAAAGGGAATAATCACTTCTCTAGATCTACTGGCAATGCTCCTCCTAATGCACCCTAATAGGGCGTTAGCTTTCTTAGCTACAAGGGCACACTCTTGACTCATATCCAGCTTCTCATCCACTGTAATCCCCAGGCCTTTTTCTGCCAAACTGCTGCTTAACCAATCAGTCCCCACTCTGTAGCAGTGCTTGGGATTCTTCCGTCCCCAGTGCAGGACTCTGCACTCGTCCTTGTTGAACCTCATCAGGCTGGGTATGCCAGCATTCTGTTCTCTCTCAGATTCCTGCCTGGCTGGATTTTCTTCACATGCTCAGGGTCTAACCAACCACTGTATGTGGGGCTGGGAAGGAATTTCCTCCCAGGTCAGATTGCCGTGACATTGGAGGGTTTTGGCTTTCCTCTTTAATGTGTCAGTTCAGGACACTTGCCTGGATTATCTGAGTATATCTCAATCATCTGAGTATATCTCAATGATGTTGGTGGCCTGTGATATACAGGAGGTCAGATCTGGTCCTACGTTCTGGCCTTAAATGTTATGACTCTGACCATATCTTTGCATGAGTACACGATACTTTATTATTGGCAAGGGTACACATTTGTCATGGTCAAGACGTCCCTGACATAAACATTCAAAATAAAATCACATTAAAAAAAGGCTCAATAAGTTTTTGAAATTTTATTACTTTTTTTTTCCTGAGTGCAAATGCATCGCAGCAGCATCTTATTCAATTCCAAATATTTAACAGGAATGCTGATTTTACATTAATACTTTATTTTTCAAGATCTTAGCAATTTAACTATAAAAGGATAGAGGCCAATTTTTGTATAAAACTTCCCAGTGCTTTGGAGTTATGAAGTTGTTGGGTGGTTGCTGTTCATGATATGGCTGTTTTTTGTTAGATAAATATACTACTATATCTACATAGAGATATTATGGTCATATGCAGGAAAATATTTGAGTCTTATGTGCTTATATACTGTACTGTACGGTCTTTAAGATGCTGTAGATGTAGTAATGAAACTCACAATAGCCTGATATATGCCGAAATAATGTTTGATCTGGAATACAGGCAGTCCCCGGGTTACGTACAAGATAGGGACTGTAGGTTTGTTCTTAAGTAGAATCTGTATGTAAGTCGGAACTGGCATCAGCCGCTGCTGAAACTGATCAGTTTCAACCGTGGCTGAATCTGGAAACCAGTTTTGACTTACATACAGATTCAACTTAAGAAACCCAGGCGTCCCCAAGTCAGCTGCTGCTGAAACTGATCAGTGGCTGATTCCAGGAAGC